TTTTTTCAGACAGAATAAGCTAAAATGAGCCAGAAATTAAATTCAGACGCATGGTTTTATCATAACGATGGTTTCGGCATAATAACAAAATAGCGTAAAAAGTATAAAGTGACTAGAAACTGATAGAAACGATATGATTGATCGGCGCAAGTTATGCTTATGCAAGTTACGCTGCATGTGATAGCACCCTCATAGAAGCAACTAATCAGCGTTATTCTGCGTTATTTCGAATAGCGCTAATTGATTGTTTCAATGACGCATTCTCTATTCCACAGTCCTTTTCCGCACTGTGTGATTTTACCCTTACTCTTTTTTTCCTTTTGTTCCCTTTTTTTTTCTTGAAAGCGCGTTTCATTTGGATGACTTTTGAGCGACACGAGTGCCCTCCATCAGCGACGACGCCTGTCAAGTATTTGGCAACCCTGGTCAAGCGTCAACATGAAAAGGCACCTTAATTTAAGTGTAATCTGGAGACTTTTTCGTAGATGCATTTGGCAGAATACTTGATTTGCTTTTCAAACTGTTCGATTCGAAAACAACGAAAACGTATCCATAATAACTTTCTAACTTAAAAACACTTGAAGATTCAGGTCAAGATCGATTTCGATATACCGTACAGAGAGTTAACTAATTAGAGAAAAAATTTAAGTGATATAATAATCGAGAGATTTATTTCTTATTAAATATTTTACTTTGCGAGTAGCAACAAATGTCACATAAACATAGACGATTGTTTTAAAAGAAATTTTATATTTCGATCTCTATACGTATATAGAACAGTATATCAGAAGAGAGCAATTAGATCGAACCTACCGTATACATAAAGGTATATCCATTGTTCTTTATCTTGCTTATTAATAGTGTTATCAAATATAATATTATCAATTAAATGCCTTATATTTAACGCTTTGTCTAAGTACTGAAATATCATACATTTTTTTTTCACAAGGTCATATATTGCACAGTACAAGAGTAACTGCTGATTGCTAAATATATCGTCGTGATACTTTTGAGAATATAATTACTACGACTTTATCAATAATTATGTGCGAGCAACTTATAAACGAATATTATATTAATCTGGAGTATGATAAAAGCAACAGAGAGGTGAATACGATCTTGGAATGTATCACTGATGTGTATGATGATGCGCGCGCGTGCGCGTGCGTGTATGTATGTGAGCGAATGAGTGAGATTGATGCACGCATATCTAAACATTCTGATAATAGATTACGAAATATGAGATTCAATATTAATTAAATTAGAAACAAAAAGCTTTATTTATATTTTCAGTAATATATTATATACTATTTTTGTGCACATTTTCAGGAAATACTGACAAAAATATTCACTTTATCCAAAAAAATAAAATTTAAAGATACTGATGATTTTTCAACAAGGTAAAAAATATTTAATCTGAAGATATGTACAAATATAGCATGATAAAAATGTAATAATTATTTGAATTATTTTCACCTTTATTCTTTTTATTTTTATTTTTGTTTATTGACAGATTTCTTAAAACAGCATTTATAATAGAAAAAAATTTATCTCTTTTCAACTCTGCATGTAAACATGTAGATATAGTTACTACTATCCTTGAATACTTGAAAAATTTCGGTGTAAAATTTATGTTTGATATTGAGTTTGGTACGTATGACATTTTAGCAAGCATATATTTGTAAAAATATATCAACATGTATATGTTTTCTAATTATATTTTTATATTTATTTTGCTTACAAGTATAAATTGCATATGTAGTATATCGTATAAAAATAAGCATACTCGTATTAGATAATTTGATGAGAAATTCTTTCGTCTTGAATTTTTATTTTATTTCCTAGACAATTTAGATGAAGAATACAACAAAGAAGAAATAATCTTATCGGTAATGCTCACAATCTTCAATATATGTACAGAACACAAAGTACAATTATTTCTGGAAAATGCCATCATGTAACTGTGCTTTTAATATTTGTTTAACATGTTAATTTATATTTCTTATATTATATAAATATTAATATATTAATATTATACATAACACATATGTATATTTGTATGTACACGCATACATACTGCATCAAGATACTATTAAAAACGATCGGTACTGGGCAAATTTTCACGACTGTCAATGAGGCCTCGGATAATTGATCCGGGGATAATTGAAGAAGAAAGATATTATCGACAATTAATAAAAATTTGCGATTACATTAACAACAAACAATATTTCGATAGAGCATTATTAAATTCATGATTTTTTTATTATACATATAAATGCTGTAGAAATAAGTATCCATACTTTTGATGCTGTAATATCTTATTACAGCTATCATGTTTGCAACATTACTGAAAAATAATTACAATTTTTTTCTCTGCAGTTATTATCTCTATTGATAATCAAAATCTGATGATAATATAAAAATCACAGTTTTAAATAAAAAGACAGAGTATTATTAAATTTTAAACATATCTATATAACATATCTACGAAACTAATAAATCATGAAATTAATACCATATATATGTATATAATCAGAGTTTCTTATTACTTTCAATCATAATTCAATCTTATTACTTTCAATCATAATTTAAATTTTAACAGTCACGCGAACTTCCGTAAGAACTGACCATCTTTATTAATAGTATCTCGTCGATGACACATAGTAATTTTGTAAATACATTACTTTTTTCAGCAAAAATTCAATACTAAATCAAATCCAATACAATTCTTTGAAAAATGAGCTTTTAAGTAAGAATAACATATTTATAATGTAATAAAAATATACGTTTTAATTTTTAATGAAGAATTGATAATGAATTTCTAAATTTCGCGTAGATCAAACCAACGAAATGATACTTCTAAAGGATTCAGATTTGTATACAGTCATTAATTATTTAATGAGAATAGGAAGTTCTCGTATAAATAAAATTTGGGTTCAAGTAATAATTAAGCAGAAATTTTTGTCGCTTATAAAGAAATATTTTCATTGTAAAGATTTTAAAATATTTAAATCGACCATTTGTATATTTAAATCGACGAAAGAATTTACACCTCGCACGTCATATAACATGAATATAATGTCTATATGGTCAGAAGATCTTGTATATGCAAGATATTTAGCAACAGTTTTAAATGTATGTATATTAATTAGTTATTTAAAGCAATATTACGGAATTTTCGTCTCATAAACAATATTAAAATATAATTTCCATTGTTAATTCAGAGAGACATTATATTTGTAAATGTGCATATGGATCTCTATGGTGGAGACATACTTTTACCATATGTAAAAGTATTTGGCAAAATATATGAAGGATTTAAGCTTACTTTCAATGATGATTCGATACGAGTACCAAATGCAAACGAAGTAAACTTCTTACATGTTCTCGACAAGGAATCTATGCCAATCTGTAATTTGTTTTATGGCGGCAAATGGCACAAACCCGTAAAAAATATATATTGGAAACATAATAACATGTTATGGGCAAATGCGACAAAGTATGAATGCATATATGTATCAATTGTTAAATTTTAATATTCTTTTGCTTAGCTTTAAGAAGTTTGATAAAATTTATACACTAAACATAATCAATTATTATTTATTACAGAGATGATATTAAGATCTGTTTTAATTCCGCTATAGAAGGATTCAAGATTTGGAAAACTTGGTCAATTACGAATAGAATAGACGTGTTATCTCAAATGATAACAATACTAAAGTATAATAGGTTAGATTATTAAAATTTTACGTGTGTGTATCTACTTATCTATATCCTCTTATTTAAATTTGTATTGTTCTATGTTTCTTTACTCTTTGGATAACTTTCAATAACTTTTAATAACTTGTTTATTACTTTTTTTTATCTTTTTGTCTTTCTCTTTAGTAAATTTTCAAAAACCGCATCAAAATTGACTGGCTTCTTCAACTTCACTCGAGCATGGTTACTTTGTTCTCAAAATGATAGATTAGAAGTAATCCAAAATCGTATTCCAAGAGGCGTTATCATTCTTAAGGAGAGATCTGAAGAAATTTTGATTCTTCGATTGATACAAGTTTTAATTTCCGGCAATTCTGTTATTGTAATAGCTGATAAACATTCCTGTAGTTTGACACCTTATTGCGATATCTTTTCAACATCTAAGATACCAAGAGGCGTTATAAATTTCTTGTTTAATCAAAACACAAAGGATTTAGAATTAAGTTTATGCGCAACAGATTACGTAAACTATGAAAAACAGTTGTTCACATCCAACTTCGAAAAAATGTATATAAATCTTACATTATCCAAACAAATTGTACTCTCTCTCAAATAATTTTATTAACACTGAACATATATATAATCAATTGTGATAAAGACAAGAGAATATGAATACCTTGAAATATTTTTTTATTACGCAATTTTATAAGAACATTTATAATATAAATTTACTCAATCAATTCTCTCAAAAAGTTACAGTTGGATAATTATATTGTATGTTAAGATACTTTATGAAAGATTTAGAACGTTTTGTATTTTTACTTGTATAAGTATGTATAAGTAATTATAAAATTCAATTACAATGTGTTATTACGAAAATATTTAATACTTTGACAAATTATTCATATCATATATCTTGATAATTGTAGCAATGATTTAAAAAATAAAGAACAAAAAAGATTGTTCTTTAAATTTCTTTTATGATGGAGCTATATTATGTATCTTATTGACACAACTGTAAATTACAGATTAATTTCAATCATTTATAATTGATGTGTAAGCAAAATAAATGATCAGATAATGCAGCATCTCAAAATAATGTTTATTTATTTATTTACCAAGGATAATATAATTATTATGGATTAACAAACATTTTAAACATTATACTTCACATACTCCTATAATATTACAGGCCACATTTAGAAATATGTTTGAAACAAATTATTATTTATACATCTTGTGTTCTACAATAAAATATAAACAAGGTTACGTGTAATGTAATAATCTGAATTATATAATGTAATAAACTGAATTATATAATGTATTCTAAATGTGGCCATTATAATTTTATAAATCTTATGTATTTATAGAAAAGAATAGCTCAAGCCTGAATTTTGATGTCACCAAAACACTTAGACTTCACCACTCAATAATTTCTTATCGAATAAAAATTCTCCCAAAGGTCCATGCGCTTGCATCATTTTACCCAACACTGAGATTTTGCCTGCGAGGTCACGTTGCCCTTTATACTGTTCCTCTAAGAAATCGGTAGTGAGGTAGTCGACCAACTGTAAACAATTGCGACATGACAGTAATTTTGTATATATATACATATATATATATATATATATATATTTGTGTGTGTGTGTGTGTGTGTGTGTGTGTGTGTGTGTGTACACATGTAAGATTAATTGTTTTTAAACGATGCTCACGTGGTAATCGTTGAAAGAAGATGTTTTCGGAGTTTCGCACGTTATGATTATATCACGAATACTGCGCGTAACTTGAGCCTCTAATTTTAAAGCATCGGTGAGAGCTTCTTCTCCACTGTTCCACTCCTGGCGTATCGAATTTGTATTGTTGGTAGTCTGTATGATGTGAGAAAAATCGCGTTAGTGTTTACACTTTTTTTTCTTTATTCTTTCATCAATTCTTCAATCTTTACTCACTAATCTAAACTATTTGTGCAAGTTGTGTTTACTCGTGGAAAGTAGAATACTCACCAAAGGATACTTGAGAAGTTTGCTGACATCATTTGTAAGTTGTCCACGCATTAGTAAATATTCGATGATCTTTATAGCGTGCTCTCTCTCTTCGCTTGCGCTTTCAAAAAAGAACTTGCTAAAGCCTGGGCGGTTTATAGTATCACGTGCAAAGTGAGCACCCTATATAATGAAAAATTAAATCTTAATGTAACACGTAGTTGTAGTTAATCTGTTTTCGTTAATTTATAACAGGTTGTAGAGATTATATTTTGTGTGTGTGTGTACACATTGAGTGAGGAAAAAATATGTTAACAAGTAAACTATATACCATCGCAAGATATTTCATAGCAGCTTCCATTTCAGTTTTAACTTGAGACTCCATGAGTTTTGTGCACGGATCGGTCATGTCTATCCATGATGTTGGTATATCAGCAGGTTTAAGAAGACCTAAAGAGATGTGATAAAATGATTAATCTAATTGTTATGTTAAATGTACAGGTACTATAAATAAAAGCCTTGTTGAATGTATATTAATTATTGTCTATGATGAAATTTGTCTACTATATTGCATGATAACTCATTTCTTAAATAAATAACAAGATATTACTTATCACTCAGTTATCAAAATGATTAAGTATTTTATCGATGCGTGACTGATCACTCATAATGTTGATAGCATCTATTAGCAGTAAATGATTAACATTAAGAATAATCACAACGAGATATTTTTTGTGTCACATTACTTTTATTTTCATTTGTATCTTTATTTCTACTTTTTTACGTACATTGGAAAAAATGTAAATTATTCTCAATCATAAAATGAACTGTTATTAATGTTTACATAATAAATGAATTAAATTCTAAAAATATAATTCTATCTTTTATATATATATATAT